ATAACATTACCACGGCTCAAAAGGCGAGCATGTTCGGTGACGGAGAATCGAACCTGCGACTCTCAGATTGCGAGTCGAGTACCCCTAACCAACAGGGCACGCCAGTCCTCATTTTTTTAAAAATATTTTATACACTATGCTTGGATTAAGAGACCATTAAGTAGGTGATTGGATTTTTTTAACTTTAAAAGCATTTTAATTGTTACGCTTATCACACCTTATAAGAGTTACTACAATGTTAATTGGAGTAATGATTTGTGATGATAATAATTATCAGAATGAAATTTACCGAGTCTTAGCTTTTAAACGGCTACAATGTCCGGTGTGGCCTAGTGTTAAACGTTTGCGGGGCTGTGGGTTGAGAAGGTCCTAGGTTCGAACCCGTGATATGCCACTGAACACGCTCCGCTCTGTGGGCGCGTTGTAAGAGTAACACTAAATATCGATATTCGGTTAAATATAGTCTTGTACGTTATAATTACACTTGTTTGTTTGTAATTATGCACAAAGCTACACAATGGGCTATCTGTGCTCTGCCCACCACGAGTATCGAAACCCGGTTTCTAGCGTTGTAAGTCCGCAGACGTACCGCTGTGCCACTGGGGGGTCATGTATAAAATGTCAAGAATTGCCATTGATAAATGCAAAAATGGAAACTTTGTACTATATTCCAGAAAAAAACAACTGTATTCCACTTTGAATTCCTAAAATGAACAAGAACCAGACTTTCAGTGAGTTGCGCAAAATTTTGTGAACAATCTGGGGGGCTGAGGGGGGGGCGAGTAGGTTTTTAACTGAAAAAACTCAAAAAAGTTGACTCTTGATTGAGAGCTGTTTAAAATACTATAAAAACTCTACTGTTGCGAGTGCATATGGCTCAATTGAGAGCTGTTTAAAAGACTATAAAAACTCTACTGTTGCGAGTGCATATGGCTCAATTGAGAGCTGTTTAAAAGACTATAAAAACTTTACTATTGCGAGTGCATATGGCTCAATTGAGAGCTGTTTAAAAGACTATAAAGACTCTACTGTTGCGAGTGCATATGGCTCAATTGAGAGCTGTTTAAAAGACTATAAAACTCTATGTTGCGAGTGCATATGGCTCAATTGAGAGCTGTTTAAAAGACTATAAAAACTTTACTGTTGCGAATGCATATGGCTCAATTGAGAGCTGTTTAAAAGACTATAAAAACTTTACTGTTGCGAATGCATATGGCTCAATTG